CGTGGAGTGCCTACCTTGTAGTGAAATGAAGAGTTCAAATTTCCATTCTTTTCCCTATAAATATTTACTATGTACAAAAGAGAAAGACATTATAAAACATATTAGAATATAAAATTTCAACCTATGGGATGTGGCTTAGTTAGCAACGCATGTTGTACATGTGAAAAGAGCTCTCGAGTTCAATTCCACTAAATATAACTGCAGGGAGGGGTGAAGAATTTTAACTGAATTAGATAGTTCATGGTAATGAGATTCAAATACCAGTGATTTACAATATATATATATATATATTAAACTCAAAAGATTAACTTAATTGGTAAGTAGATTTATTTTCCATTTTATTGATCACGATTAAATTCTTAGAATCAGATTGATTCTTTTATGATTTCGACAAGATAAATCATGATCAAGTTGTAAATTTCAATTTGCAAAGAAAAGTGTGATTAAGTAAAGTAGGGCTCCGTTTGTTTCATAAAGTAATTTGTATAAAAATATTTTTTATAATTTTTTATTGTTTTGGAAATTCAAAAAAAAAGGTCAATGGAAAATATTTTCCTACTAAAAAAAAAAAACTAAATCATGTTTAAGGAAAATAACTTTTCATTTTCAAGAAAGTAAAACATTTTTTGTACATTGACAAACTTACAATAACTTTATAAATGTACATTTTTTAATTTATCAATCACTGTTGGCCACTCCCACCAATAACCCTTCACCAACAACCACCACCATAGGTCACCATTGCCACCACCACCAGTCACCAGCCACTTTCATAATTTTATCAAATTTTTTGCAGTTTTTCTCATATTTGACAATAATTTTTTTAAAAAAATTTCTATTATTATAAATATTTTTATAGTCTTAAAAGTAAAGATTTTAATATTTTTTTTGACTCCGTTTCAATATTTCATTCAAACAATAAAAAATAAGTTATTTAAAAAAATATTTTTAAGAAAAACATTTTCCTTAAAAATAAATTATTTTCTAGAAATAAACGAAGGTACAAAAAGTTCAGACACGCAATTCAAGAGGAATTAATTAATTTATCTTTTTTCGCTTGTTGTCCATTAAGATTGAAGACTCCCAACATTATCATGATTCATATCATAGCTTTGAGAAATTGGTATCTTTGGTTTGTAGAAAGTACAATATTATTGGCAAATCGACATAACTCGACTCCACTCGAATCTCATAAATTTACGGTATTATTTTGTGCATGAGTCCAATGATTAACTCGATGCATTCACAACCCAAAACGAATTCGTCCAAAATACTATGACCCAAAACAACTTAACTAATGGTACAATAGCCATGTGAAGCACTAATGTTCGGTCATATCATAATTAGATATTGCCTGCTAATATGGTACTATTTCAACATTTTTATTATGCTCACGCCACTTTCCTATGTCTCCAGCAACCACGTAACCAGCTGGATTTAATTATAAACCGTAAAATGCATAAATTCACTTTTGTACTTTATTAAAAAGGTTTTGTATCACTCTAAATTTTATAAGAAATTTATTACATTTTTAAAGTTATGAATTTTGGTAAAATATTATGCATTTCTTCATTTAGTACTTCTGATTTTTATGTGCAAAATATTAATTTTATGTGTGGTTTATATAACTTTCAAAATAATAATTTTTACATTTTTCAATTATTCAATAAATGTTTAATAGATCGAGCTATAGGCATCACGGAGGATGCCAAGATGGTGGACATCGTTCTTTTGTATCTGGCGGACATCGCTAATTTTATAAATTGGAGTATTCAATAAAATAATTATACAAGTTAAAATAGTCAATAGTTGAAATTTTATAAATTAAAGTATTTGATTGATCAAAATAAAAGATGAGGGTGCCATAAAATTTTTTATGCACATGGTCTTTATGCATTGGTACTTATAACACATATATATATATGACATTGATTGGTGTGCACTAGTTAGTTATAAAGTATTATACTCGTTACATCCATACACACAGCTATAGCTAGGACAGATATTTTGGGGAGTCAAATGAAGTTTTTTAATCTCTTGGAAGGATCAAATATAATTTTTAAAAAATTTTAAGGACTAAAATATAATTTTTCATAAGGAAACTTTTTTGAAAAAAAATTTCTTGGGGTGGCCAAGGCTCCTTCAGCCCCAAAGAGCTCCGCCCCTACATACACATATGTAAAGTATTTTAAGATATTTTTGGATTTCTAAGATGTAAATATCTTAATAATTCGAGTTAACTATGACTAATAAGACTTGAATTCTCAATTATTGGAAGTACTCTTTAGGCCTATTGCATGGGGCATTTTTAAAAAATGAAATGGAGAGTTGATAAAAATGAAGGGTATGCAATGAAATATAAATGAAAAGTAAATGTACTTTTTTCTGAGAATTTTAAAAGGAAAAAGGATATTAGCTAATGTAAACTGATGTCTTTATATTTTACGGTCTAGCTCTTGATTTTGAGATTAAGGAAAATGAGATTAAGGAAAATGTGCATTTGAAAGTTAGTGATTGTAAAAGTTTAACTTTCCTTAACAATCATTTTTATTATGAAAAAAAAGAAGACTCGAATTTGAGATTAAGAGATTAACTTTTTTTTTTTATATTAATTTAATCTTTTAATCTCCTTAAATTAACTATTAAGTATTGAGTGCACACCAAGGCTTGGCCCAATAGTAAGTACATTATGACCCGGCGACAGATATTGAGTTCTTGGACTTTAAAAATTTATTAAATAAAATAAATTTCTATTTTGATTGATTTAATTTATGATAGACTCACAAGCTGGATCTAGACAAATTTTATTTAGTACATTAATGGTAAGAATTTTATATCCTTATCACCTCTACGTAGGTTTATCTCAACTTGAAAATATGATTGTGTAGAATCCTCTTCTTCTATTATCCAATAGAATCACATGTTTCAATTAAAAGTAAGAGTTCAGGTTTAATTAACTTAAATTATAGTAGAATGATCAAATACATAAATTCACCACTTAACTTCTCAATTTTGACTTTGTGCCACCTTGAACTTTGTAAATGACATATCATGCACTTGAACTTGCAAAATTTAATAATATTGCATACTTACGTACTAATTGCAATTTTTTTAAAAGATTTTTGACTATTATATGCAAAATATTAATGTGATGTATAGTTAGTATAGCTTTTGGAACAATAATTTTCATATTTTTCAAATATATAGTAAGTTTTAACTGATCTAATTTTGCAATTTGAAATATTTAATAAAATAATTCTACAAGTTGAAGTGTTTAATAAATGTAATTTTAAAAGTTGAAGTGTTTAACAGGTTAAAGAAAAGTTAAGGTGTTTAACAGGTTAAAGAAAAGTTGAGGGTGCTCATGTTAAAATAACAAATTTCAAAGGTGAATTTATGTATTGAGCGGAATATAAATAATTCAAAACACAAAAGTGTCAAATTACAAGAGAGTATATGAAATTTTCACCTATTAAATTATTTAATTTTTTTAATCATATTTCAATTTCAAATTCATCCCGCCAAGTAAGTTTTTCGCTCACAGAGCTGCATTATTCGACTGCATCCAATCAGAATCGGATTTTGGATGGCAGTTAGTTTGTCAATAAAAAATAAGTACAAGGTATCGATTGATAAAATCAAAAGTATTAATTAAATTTGAAAAAAAAAATCAAGAGTTCAGGCCTTCATTAATGATTTTTTTTTATTGTTAAACCATCTGGTACCTGCACTGCCAGCTAATTCGGATTCAGATTCTGCAAATACCCATTATGAGAGCAACCCTTCCAATCCAGTTTTCTCCATTTACAACGGCAGGGTTCAAATCTGATACTTTATCCCATTGCACTAACTGATAATTGATTGATCAAACTTGTTTTTAAGAGTATGTCGTGATGTATTTAGATTGTTGTTATATCAAGTCAATAAATTTCTCTTAAAATTGATATATAATGTCATATAATTAAAGTAATAAAATTCACGGGTAAATTTATATAATTACAAATGATTAAATGGTTGATTGCATTCATCCATGCACATTAATGTAAAGCATCACTCTCAGTAAAGACACAAGTCAAGAAGATAAAAGTAAAGAGAAAGAGGAGGGAATAAAGCTTGGGATGGAGTAAAAAGAGTAATAGATGTTATAGACGATTTGAAGAGAAAAGAAGCATAGGGTACTGTCCTACAGTACTACTCTGCTTGTCCAACTCAAAGAAGCAGAATTTTGTGTGAGCATTGGGGCCGTACACTCCATTAAAGAGTGCAATAAATGTTGATATGTCGTTCTCATCTCTCTGCCAAGTAATGTGATCACTCACTTGCATTGCTTTACTCTCTTTCCATTTAAATTTTATTTTTTATAAATATTTACATGTAAAGGCTAATAATTTCCTAAATTTTCCGTTTTTTATTGTTAGAATTCTACACCCTATAGATAAGGGTGGATTTTTTGGATTCATAAGTATAAATGTTGTATATCTTAATAGATTAATCTTATAAGGAGGGGATTAACCTCCCCACACCAAATTCATAGCCCTCAATTACGGACCAAATGAATGAAAGTAGAAATTTTTATTCAAACGAAAGTATCATATGGTATTCATGTAAACAATAACAAGAATTATAGAAAAAAATCCATAAAATGTATAAAAAATCAAAAGAAGTCAAACTATAAATCTTTATGCTCGTATCATATAGTGTTCATGTAAAATCCTGTCAACAGTGATAACCCTAAATTTTATAAAGTTTAGCTAAGGATGCAATCAAATGCGGCATACACAAATATGAGGATGCAATCAAATGCGGCTTACACAAATATTTCTTTCCTTTAAAACTTGTAATGATTCATTTATCTTAACTGACACACAAACACATACAATAGAAACTCACAAGAATATGTATATAGCTAGCAATGTGGTCCTCGTCCCATCTTTATCAACTTTTTCTTTACTCTTCTCTCTCTATCCGACCTTCATTATTAAGTACTTCAAGTACTACATATATCACTTGCATAGCTATAGCATCAATACATGGATACCAAAACCACTGAAGGAAAGTGGGGGTCAAGAATTGTTAAAGAAGATCGCAATAATATTGTTGAAGGACATAGCAACATGGAGGATTATGATATGGAAGAAGAAGAGGGTAATGGTGGTTTTGCTGATGATGAGAAGAAGAAAGGAGTTGGAGTTGTGTATGGTAAAAGAGGGACTGCTGCTGCTGGAGGAGGCGGTGGCGGAGGGGTTTCGCCGCCTTCTTGTCAAGTGGAGAAGTGTGGAGCTGATCTGAGTGATGCTAAGAGGTACCATAGAAGACATAAGGTTTGTGAGGTTCATGCAAAGGCACCAGCTGTGATTGTTGCTGGTCTTAGGCAAAGATTTTGTCAACAATGCAGCAGGTATATATTTTTCTTTTCTACATTGCTCTGATCCATTAGATATATTTTGTATTACAAAAAATATATTACAGATCTGCATTGGACAGTACTGTGATTCAAGTAGACTTCTTAAACAATTATAATAATTTAAATGTTTTTCTTTTTAAATAAAAATATGTTAGGATTTAAAAAAGAAAAAAGAAATAATGGTATAAGAAACCAAAATCCCTCTTTTCTTGTACAACAAGTTAATTTGCCTTATCTACTGAATCAATCATTAAAGTTAAATTGAAGTGGTTAGTTGAATAGGAAGCAACAGAAATTTAATGAAGATCTTTACTTTAGTGCTGTTGCTAAGATTTTCTTTTTTTGCTAAGATATTTTGTTGAAAGGAAAGGATTTATAGAGATAAAAATGAGACACTAACTTAAGAATGCGTGAATTGATAACCTAATAATTAAGGAAAAAAAAATACTCATTTTCTTATATTTTTCATTGTCATTATTGGATTTGTTCATATTTTTATTTACGACCAGTCGATATTATTCGATATTAGATTTGTTAGATGCATATACCTGGTGTGAGTAAAGCTTAGCTAAATCTACCTACATGTTTTTTTTGAACAGCAAAGAAAAATAAGATATTATTAGTGAAAAATAATAGGAAAGGTAAAAAAAAACTCCACAACACCAGGAACTACACTCAAGCCATCAGGCTTTCTCCCTTACACCCATTGAACCTAAGCCTGGAGTGCAGAGAAAAAACCTCCACGTTACAAGAACCATACAAAAACAGGACAGAAAGCAGAAAAGCCAAGAGCATGTGGCCCAAGGATAAATCTACCTACGTGCATGATCTAAAACTCAATCAATAGGTGCTAATTGCATGGATATACACTGACCTACCGGTCTAAATATACATTTTCAGAATTTTACATGAAAAGTGTAATATACATATGTATGTACTTGTTAGTTAATTATAAGAGTTTTAATTCAATTTATAGGTTCCACGAGTTATCAGAATTTGATGAAGCAAAGAGGAGTTGCCGCAGGCGTTTGGCAGGACACAATGAGAGGCGAAGAAAAAGCTTATCTGCTGAATCCAATGGAGAATCATCATCGTTGTCATCGTCAAGCCGCAGCAAAGGAGCATTTGGTGCTCAGTTGAAGGAAACTCAATGCCTCAGGCAAGTTGAAGAACGACCCAAATATCAAATAACTATACCCTTACCAGGGAATTCCGATTACAAAAGATCCCAACTTAGATCATAAATGTTCAAACCCAGGCATCGATGATGCTCCCTCTCTTCTGTCATCATATCACTAATATTTATAACTTGTATGAATGTATGTATGTATTTTGATTTGCATGGAGGGTATATTATTAGATACGGAGAGTAGTATTTTAATAAACGAGATTTGGTGTGTGTGATATATGATGTTTATAGTTCTATATATTGTCTCCATGTGCTTATTTGAAGTTTCACCATTGTGCTTGTTCTATAACTCTATAAAGAACACTAATAGATTTGATAAACTATAGTTTTGAGTTTTTCCATTTTAGTTGAATAAATCGCATAATAAGAGTAACTATCCTCTCATTTTCAAAAAATAAAAAATAAATAAAAACAATAAGTGTGACTATCCTCTTGCAATAAAATTATAAAACCCAATTTCTCTTAATTGTCTAGCTGCAAGTTTTAATTACCATTGCGATATTTCCAGGGAAGATTTAATGTTAAACTTTCCATAGTGTGGACTTGTATTTGACACAATCCTCAATTTGCTCAAATTTTAATTGCGATGCGTAACTCCAACGTTTGAATCGATTTTAATAAAAATTTTCAACTAAATACTAATCGAGGTCATTCTTTTATTGAAATACTAACTCGGTCACTAAATAAAAATTCTCTCTCCCCAACACTAGGTATAACCTAATATTAAATGCATATATGATCTGACAATAGATTCAGATTCGAATTCCTCTCGCTTAATACTCAAAAAATAATTCTCTCCCATTAATTATCTATCTCTCCAACAACTGATCTTTTTGTTAAAAGTTTTTATTAAAATCTAAAAATTTAATTTTAAATAATTTAGATACTGCGTATAAATCTAAAGGATAAATGAAATATTATTCTCTCTCTATATATATACACTGTCAATATGCTCAATTATGTGTATTATGATGACCTTTCACATCATTTTAGCTTGATACTTCAGCAATAACTGGAATTGGGTCAAAAGGTTTAGCACCAGGGATAGGCAATTTGGTCTTTTTATTTAAATAGATAAGAGTTGCTTAAAGAAAAAACAGCAGCAGTTCATAACGGCCATCAGGTATCACTTTAAAATATTAACCAAACAGGTTTTGATGCAACTCTGAAAAGCCACCAGCTGCCCTGAAAAGATTTACCAAAAACTCACAGAAAAGCACAAAAGCTCTACTGTAAGAGACAAAATCAAACTCACAGCAGAACTTTCAAACAAAAAAATAACATCTGAAGACTTCAGAACCATTCTATTCAATCATCCCTTTGAAAAAAATATAGATTTTTGATATCTAAACCAACAATAAGGACCTAATAATAATAATAAAAAAAAACATAAATATATTAAACCATGGAGAGCTTGATAAAGTTATCTTATTACATTGTGAAATTTGGAATGCTATGAACTTTACTGTTTGAAATAATAATGATAATAATAATTTAAAAGAAGGAAAAAGAAAGTTGCAGCAAACAGCAGCTGCATGTTCCACACTTGCTTCAATGTTTCAACTTACCCCATCCAAACCACCTCTCTTGCCCAGATGGCTTTGCCTCAAGTATTTTCATAAGAGTTTTTTCTATTTCACAGCCATCGTTACATTGGCATCAAAGGGATGGTGCTAATCAATACATTTACACAGCCCTATATATACACGTCCAAGTACATAGGGGGGATCGTCTTGCAACACAGGGTAGGACCTACTACTAAATGTAGCACAAAATATGCATGATATTTATTAGTATACCTGAAGTAATTACACGTCTCTCAGAGTTTTCTTATCAAACAAGATTGCAAAAGGAATCCATAGATCAGTTAAATTTTACAACTATGCAGGAAATGTCATCCGTGCTCTTCCTATTAAGTGCCTCTTCAGTTAGGTGCTTTGCTGCAGAACGAGCATCTTTTATGTTCTTGATAGCATCTGCCGCTTCCTGGTTTGTCATCACCTGGCATTCAACCAACATACAGATATTTAGTTGATATTTTTTGTCGAAAAACATAAAATGCTGATCCATCTTAACATCAAAGATTAGATTAATAATAAAAGTTTCAAATAGGATTAACCTTCCACAACCCATCACTAGCTAAGATGATAAAATCAGTATCATCATCAATCAGTTCCTTTGCAAAATCTGGTTCTGAGCTGAGATGTTCTTTCAAGCTCTTATCACCAAATGCCCTTGCCACTGCCAATTGCCCATCAACTCGTGGAACATCTCCTGCATTTCATAAAGCACACATATTTCATTGTTGAGCAACAAAGAAGCTAGGAGAAACCCCAAAAGGCAACAATGAATCACATGGCTTATAGTTCATAGTAAATAGATGTCACTCGTGAAAGACATCAAAAAAATGTGCACAACATTACTCAAAAAAACACATAACTTCGCCAATTTGTACATGTATACATATACGACTGAATTATAAGTGATATCGAACTCCAGACTGTTGCAGCCATTGAACACCAGAAGTAGAACAATTAACTTGAATTCATATTTTTATCATGTTCTAGCACCAATTCCTCTAAAAGAAAGACATCACAAATGCAAGGCATTATCAAGATTCCAATATATATTGCATGAAGCAACTGCTAATTAATACCAACGAAGCCCATTGGAAACTGCTAACCAATAACAATACCAACACTCTTATTTCAAATTCCATGTGATGGGATAATAATCATGTTTGCATAAAAGTCATGTGCCTCAGAACAATGTCTCTTCTATCCTGGAGAAATACTTACCTGGGAAATTTGATACAAAACCACCTCTGTTCTCAATTTCCTCCCTTTCTGCACTTGGCTCATGATCAACTGTCAGTTGTTTGGCCACACCATTCTTGCAGATAACAGCTCGAGAATCACCAACATTGGCTACTACCAGTGTATGACAGTTGATCAGTATTGCTGTGACAGCAGTAGAACCTCCTTTACCCAAATCGGCTGCTTGCTCTAAAATCATAGTATCAGTTATACGATATGCTCTCCTCATAGCATTTTTTGGTTCTGTCCAGAAGTCTGGCTACTTACAGGGAAGAATTGAAAAAGAACAGATTTAATTTCCTTGATTTTAGCCATGCAAATTACATACTGAAAGAAAAGTTTAATATTTAGTGATATATTCAGGCTCCATTTGTTTTGTGGAAAATATTTTACTGTTGAATATGGTCTGCATTTGCTAGTGTTTGGGACAACCAGGAAGATTGGATGATGGACTGTGTTTTCCTAATCAAAGATAAAGATTCAAATCCAAATTCATTGAGTGGACTGTAGATGCAAAAAGGAGATGAAGCAACAAGATAAACACATACATACTAGTCCAACCACCACCATTACAGGTTTTTCAGGTGTCATTGGCCATAGCAATTTACCTTCTATTTGTAAAATTTTTTGAAGTAGATTAAACCAAGCTCAGAATATATGATTTTTGAGGTCCAAACAGTCATGACCTTATTTACTGAAGGAGAACTTTCTTTATTGAACAAAATATATAACCCACTAGGTTGAAATCTTCTCATGGTGTTCTTTGTTGAAGCAAGATTTACTCTAATTCTAGCTCACTTTAAATTCCAGAGAATAAATGATGATTGGTTTTCAGTGTTACATCAAAATAGTAGGATGTATATTTATGACATTATTTCCCATAAAATAAATGATAAAGAAATAGACATTTATTCTGGCAAAAAATCTAACTGCAGACTTCAAAAAATTACAAAGATCTATATTTAGAGTTAGGCCTCATATAATTTGAATTGAAATGGAAATTCCAAGCTCCATTTTTAACTGACCATTAAGTTGGCAAACACCAACACCCCCACCCCACAGGGTGGTAAAAAGAAATCCCTAGAGAGAGAAAGCAAAATATAGTTGAAACTCAAAGTTCAAAACTATTAGAAACTAGATGGTGTCTTTTCTCATTTGCGCCCAAAAAAGAAATGCAGTAGAAAATGCAAACATCATGGTTTACCTCTTTTAAGATGTTGTCAAACAAATTTGACCGCAAATAATCTGGAATAATATGGCTCAGATGACCATCAAATATTGCAAACAAACCAAGTTCATTGTCATCGACTTGCTTAAAATGTGCAACGATATAATCTTCCATAGCATGATGTGATTTTCCCTTCACTAAGTGATATCCATGTGTTACATTCTTTGATATCTTACTCTTGCCCTTTCCAGAGTCTGCAGATGAACCTAATCCAACTTTTTCCTGCAATACACATATTCAAACTGGTAAGTCACATGGAAAATGTTCCAGTAGAAAATTGAACCATAACCAAATATCAAACAGCTGTCAAACCAGCAAAATATAGCATTTGGAAGAATCTAATATACCAAATAGAATCTACATTCAAGAAGAAAATAGAAAGAACTGATCAGTGAAAATGGCAATAAAATTGAAGTCATAATTAGGGATAGAACATGCACACATAAAGAGACGCAACTGGCAAGCAAAACAACAAATGACACGTTCTTGCCTCCTAATTTATTTTATTGAGCCTTTGCACATCCCATAAACATTATAATTATAATCCTAGTGTGTGTGCACATAATAATTTGTTCTTAAATATTTCATCTGTGAAATGTGCAATGATTGCAAATGGCAGAGGCTAAGTTGTCAACAGACCTTCGATTAATATTTTATAAAAATAAAACAACTCTTAATGTCATCGGCAAAGAAATCCTAACTCTTAACCTATATAATATAATTAGTTACTAATTTCTTCGCAGGAAACAAAAGCAACCTATTCACCGATTTTTCCTAGAATCAAAAGGATCACACTGAAGGATTTAAACGACCTTCTCTACTCTCTGCTCTAAAGGCTTCAAATTGACTAAATCCTTTGCTCAAAGACACAAAATTCTTGAGATTAATGCAATAGAAATTCACAAACCCTTAATTTTTATAGCATTAAGCTTCTCACATGAACAGAAAAATAAATGACATGTAATCCCAATTCGGTAGATAATAATAATTGCAGCACAAAATAACAAAAGGGCAAAAATTACCCAATTAAAGTCCAACAATAGCAAATTTCTCTAAAGATGCGGCATAAATCATCAAGACTCGAGAAACCCATAAAAATTATTAAGTGTATTGTATAAATGGATGTGAAAGATTAAGCATACCTTCATCTTGTGTAGGATTTCCTTGCCAGCCATTGCTGTTTGTATAGAGGAATAATATATTTATTATATAAGAGATCAAAACAGAAATAGAAATGGAAGGAAAGATCAGAGTGGCCAATAAAGAGGCAGGGGCAGACAAAAAAATAAGAGAAAGAAGATAAAGATCGAAGATTGAAGAGAAGAGAAAGACAAGTGTAAAAATGGAGCAGATGAGAATCTAGCAAGTTTTGACATGACAATATAGAAAATACCCACGACGAGGAGAGAGAAGACACTTGTTTCTTGTACTCATCTCTTCTGCCGCGTTCTTTGCATTAAACACGACGCGTTCTTGAAGCTATGCTTCACTGCGCTTGTTTGTACCTAATCTTATCTTTTATTTTCTGAAAAAACTTAATCCTGTCTTTTTTAAAAAAAAAAAAAACTTATTAAAATTATCACTATTTAATATCTGAATATAATAAAATACTCTTTCCATCCTATAATTTTTTTTTTTATCTTAGTTTAACTTTCATATGTTACAAAATACAATTAATATAATTAAACTTTAATTTTTCTTAGTTTTTTTAATACTACTTTAATTATTAAATGATTAATTAGATCATTCATCATAAATTATTCTTCAAACTAATCAAATTTATTTTTTTGTATGACAATTGAGGAAATGAAAGTTATAAATTTACTAATATCCGTGACAACAATAATGATTTTGGTACTAGGAATGTAAATCGAATAAGAGTAGAATAAGAAATTTAAAATATTATATTCTTTTAAAATAAATATGACTATAATTTGAAACAAATAAAAAAAATTATTCTTTATTATATAAAATATTAGTCAAGTATAAGGTAACGAAATTATGACTATACAAAACTCGAGACCTCTTTCTCCCTACAACTTTTAGAAGAGGTAAAAAAACCTATCATATTACACCTGATTGACCGTAAGTGTAGCAGTTGGTTCATTGAAATCTCACATTATTTATGGGATATATCCAGTTTAGGATTTTATTTCTACATACACAGAATTGTCAGATTAAAAACCTCAACATAAAATGGCATCTCGATTTCTCTATTAGAAAGTTCATAATCTGTTTTTTTTTTCTGAGGTTAAGAGTTTATAATTATTAATAAAATATCAAGCTAATAAATTATTCCTAAATCATCCCAGTAAATTGCAGGCTAGTTACTACTTATTTTAGTAAATTTTATATTCGAGTGCATAATAGTTGTGCGAAAGATGCATTAAAAAAAAATCTTATTTTATTTATTTTAATTACTATTTATTTGTTTTTACTGTGTTGTGATGTGTTTTCAGGTCTCCTTTGTAAAGCCGAGAGAGAAAAGAAGTTACATGGAATCAAAGTTTGTCGCGGTACCCCTTCTATTTCTCTCTCTCTTTTTTTTTTTATTTTTTTTTATTTTTTTGTAGATGACAGCCATATTTTCGGACGAGCTAATGCCTGAAAAATAGATGTAGTGGTCAAAGTTCTTGCAGATTATGAAACAGCTTCTGGACAAAAAGTTAACTTTGACAAATCGAAGATGTCTTTCAGCCTAAGCATAGGTGTGGATGTCTGGAATCTTTGCAGAAAAGATTAGGAGTAAACGAATTTGCTCAATATTCCAAATAGCTTGGCTTGCTGGCGGTGTTTTGGAAGAAATAAAAAGCAAAATTTTCAATTCATCTCTAATAGAGTCGCTAAAAAACTGAAGGGATGGAAGGAGAAGACTCTATCAAGTGTGGGGAAGGAAAGAAACTATCGTCAACTCAGTAGCACAAGCTGTACCAAACTACACAATGAGCTATTTTAATGGAATGGATTCATCAGAAAAATCCTCATTACTAATGGAGTCGAAATGATTCTTTTTCCTCTCGAGGTTTGCCAAAAGATTGAGTCACTTATTGCAAATTTCTGGTGGGAGCAAAAAGAAAATGAGAAGAAGATGCATTGGAGTTCATGGGACAAGCTTTGTTATGCTAAAGCGAGGATGAAGGGTGTTAGTTTCCTTGATGCTCATGCTTTCAACTTGGCTTTATTGGCGAAGCAAGGATAGAGACTCATTAAACAACCTAATCCGATGCTTGTTAAAGTTCTAAAAGCTAGATACCATCCAACATCGTCTTTTTTGGAAGCGAGAAAAGGATTTCAACCTAGCTTCACATGATTTTGGAGAGTGGGTATCGTTGCAGAGTGGGTAATGGGACAACTATTCGTATTTGGCATGATAAGTTGCTATCAAACCAAGCTAATTAGATTTCGCCCTCATTATTGCTTTACACCATAATGCAACAGTAAGTAGTCTGATTGATTTTGAGTCTCTTCAATGGAACTCAAGTTTAATTCAGTCTATTTTTCATCCCGGTGAAGCCACCAAATCTTCTCAATTTCATTGAGCTTGAGTCAGTCAGTAGATTACCATTATCTGGAACGGGAAGACGGATGATCCATATTCTGTCAGGACTGGCTATCATCTGAATTTCTTGGATAGACAATCGAATATAGGAGGCTCTTCATCAAAAAACAGAGTTCAAGCGACATCGTGGAAAATATGGAAACAAGATACTAATTCCAGCCACAGGAAAGCATTATTTGTTTTGGGCGTGTAAAAACCAACTGCCAATTATGGAAACATTAAGTAAAAGAGGACTGATATTAGATCCCATTTGTTCTTTATGTGGCAATGGAGCTGAAGATGCTACTCGTGTTTTTAAAAACTTGTCTCAAAGCAAGACAAGATTGGATCTTCTGCCCTTTGCGTATATGTATAGACCAACATTTGCAACTTTCCTTTTTTGATTGGTTTCAATTGTTAATGCAACATTTTGGTCAAAAATAATTGTAAATGTTCTCTATGGCAGCTTGGTCACTATGGCAGGCTCGAAATCTCTTGAAATTTCAAGAGAAAATGCTAAGCATCGAGGAAGTAGTGCAATAGGGATTAGATTGTTTATTTGATTTTCAAGCTGCCAATTCTGGAAATCTTCGAGCTAGTCCTGTAGCTGTTGATGCTCACTAGTATCGTCCATCGCTGAACTCCTTCAAAGTGAATCTGGACGCATCAGTTTCTGAGCTTCAAGGATGTGGTCTCGGGTTCATTATCAGAAAGTGCCAAGGAAATGTTATGGCTGCTGGCTGTAAACATCTGCAAGTTCTTCTGAATGCTGAGCAAGCAGAAGTTAAGGCTGGCATTTTTGGTTCTCAGATGGCTCTAGACCTGGGTTTCCATTCGTTTATTTTGGAATCTGACGCCTTGAACTTGCTTCAACATCTGCAGCAGGATTGTTTTCCAGAGACTGAGAATGGCACTGGCATTCTCTTTCTTAAAAATGTGCTCTATTTGATTAGGAAATTATTTGGCTAGAACGGATCCATAGCCACTCTTACAGAGTTGTGTTCGTACCCATAAAATAGATAAGATTGTTATTCAGTACTTTCATTTATACCCACAAATTTATAAGTCATCAAGTATCAATTACTATTTCAAATGAGAGGATCAAAATAATTACTTCATGAAATAGGATATTATTTTTTGAATTTCATAAAAAAAATTTTATAAATTTTAAAATACTTATTACATATAACAAAACTCATTCCATTTTTTAAGGATTTGTTCCCAATTACGTATATAAATTTCCAATCATAATTTAACGTTTAATTTATTTTCTAAAACAAATTTTATTTGAAAAAAAAAAAATTATTTACAATCTATGTTTTAATCATAACTAAAAATAACTACATTGATTAACTATTTTCTTTTCATATTATTCCATGAACAAGCCACAAAAGAAAACTAGATCTAGAGGGAGAATTATTGAGAAAGCATGAATAAATAAATGGTGAATGGAAATTACATTTCAGTCAATTTACAAACTATTAGAAGACTTTCTTTAAGTAGGCAAAGACTCTTGTTTTCTAAATAAGGAAAAAGAAACTGTAAAATAACTAAATCTTCTACATACTTCACCACAACCATGCATGGATAACCATATCTGTTACCATCAAAATTTGTTAGCCTATTATTACAACTATCCTAAAAATGGAGTCATATTTTGAAGTATTTAATGTTGCAACTTCATTATGTCAACATAAACAAAATTAACAAGATTACCATAGAAAGGTAAAATTAAAAACAAAAAAATAGCAATTCCAGTAATGGCTTTACCCAACATGAAATCATTTATGTTGTGTTTAGCTCTGATTAGTCTAGCAATGCTTAATCAAATAGATGCGAAGCATATTAATCCGGCTGTTCTTGATCCTTGTCTAAGATCTGGAAATAAACTTCCAGGATGTCATGCCAATAAAGGAAAACCTCGTGAAGAAGCTAATAAATATAATCGCGGTTGCTTAAACATAAATCGTTGTCGCAATCGGAAATTCAAATGATAAAATGTAATGGCAAGGCAAATATTGTGTAAACTAAGCCAATTAAAGGTCATCCCAGGGTTAGAAGATTCTTTGCTTGTGGAGTGGCACTTCGTAATTGCTTGGTTTGGCTTCAAGACAATTTACTCTCTCCTAGTTGTGTGTTTGTGAAACTCTTATTTTCTCTTTGCTTTCTACACTTGCTTTCCACTAGTGTAGATGATTCTGAGTTTGGTTTCGTTGTGAGTGATTGTAAGCATTTTATTCCTATGCTCGTTTCCAGGTATGGAATATTGCATATTGTTTGTTACCTTTCTATGGCAATTAATGAAATATTTATTAATTCTAATAATAATGTAAAATGAGCTTTTGTAATTCAATCATCATATATCTATTTATTAGTAAATTATGTCAATAATCATTTTGACAATCTTATCCTGTTTCTTTATGAAGATATAACTACATCTCAAATGGACTTTTTTTTTTTTTTTAATTCATTGGAGGCTACAGGGCTACCCTTGTGGTCGAGAGAACTCGAACTCGAGAATTTCCACTCCTCACATAAGTAAAAAGACCAACCACACCACCACCGGACTCTATTATTTTTATCAAAATATAACTTATTAATTATAACGTCAAACATTATAAATACTCGTATATATCAGATATAAAACTTTACTATCATAAGCAAACAGAGTTCATTGGTCTTTTAACAAATTAAAAGAATTGTGTATATTTTTTGAATAATAATACTAAAAATAAAAGAGATACTATTAGATCCTCCACTTGAAGATGATGTTGACAAAAGATGTAAAAATCTTCATAGTACAATTAATCTTTTAATTAATTTGAACGACAAAATAATAACTCCTTTAGATCTTCTACACCTTAATTGTTTTTCCAAAAACTTATAACATGTGACGTACACAAATGAATTCTCGCTACTATTCATCAATAGCATAAATAGAGAAATGTGTCACACTAT